TGTTGAAAGGTTACATCAAAACCTCACCTAACATCATGGTAATTCAGGGAAGTGTCTGACGCGACATATCAGATATAATATAATGTTGTTACAGTTTAAGTGTCGCTATTTTACATACATTTTTAAAACGATACTTATGAATAAAACATTACATGTCAAAAGTGTAGAGAATGTGACCACGGCAAAGTCAATAACTGTGCTCTCAGAGGTTGAAAATGTATGTTATCAGCGTTATTTAATATCGGGTCTTTCGCTGACATTAATTCTCACGTACCAATCCCATCGTCATACTTTACACATAAGACATTTGTTAAAAGCTTGACCCATGAAAATAATAATATAGAATAGTGCATTGATCTGAACCATGCGTTTTATCTCATGTACGGATTTAAGCGATTGTCACACTTGATATATAATTTATATAATTCGATATTTAGTTTACTCAATTGATTTTTCTACAATGAATATAAGATTATTTAAGCTGAATAGAATGTATTGATTTAAAAGTAGGATACCAGTCAATAATAACGGACACTAAATACATCAAAAGTTGTTTTCTAATGTAAGGAATATACGATGATGCCAAATACAATGGAGTGAGGCTAAAAAAAGGATTGGAGCACCACACTAAATACCGTAGTCCGGTATTTACCTGACAAGGCGCTTGAATAATAAAATGCTGAAATCTTGGTTTTTCACCAAAGAGGATGAACTTTAAAAGGTCTAATTCATCTTTTTACACCGATTTATGTATGATAATGAATGGAAAGTATAAAAATCGGCGAAAAAAGATATTTGTCTATTTTGTGATCATGATTTCTGCAAGCGCCTATAGGTATTGCTCCAATCCTGTATTGAGTTAAATCCAATACAATGGTGCACAAGTCAATCAGAGAATGAGTCACCTTAAAATAGCTTGTTGCAAGAAGTTACCCAATAACAACATTTTCTGATGACTACCTATGTATATATATATTGTCTTTACGTTTCCAAACAATTGAACCATTTCTGAAATAATTTAACTCTTACTGAACGTCATACAGCCAATATCTAAACCAAAGGAATTTTTAGATATAAGTAATGCATCGCATTATCACATCAAAACAAAATGTTTGAATGTGGTGAAAGTAGTGGTAGTTTTCACTCCAGATCACGGCAGTTAGCCACATTGAATTTACCAGAGCACAGTTCAGCCACTGCATATTGGAATATTACTTCTCTTCATCCATGTTCAGTAATTTGTAATAAACATGGATACCTAATTGGCAATACGTTGTATCATAAATAAAAAAGTAGCAAAATATAAAAAATAGCATAATATCAAAATAAAATATATAATTTGTTTTGTCATTTTCATCAATTGTTCCTTACTTATTTTAATTCTTTCATCTTTTGAAGTCCTTAATCTTCTAAAAAATAAAGGTGTCTTAATGACTTTCTATAGACTAAAAGCAAAGAATTCCTTTTGAATAATTCGAAACATAATCTGAACTAAATTACTTGATTTGATGGGTTTATTCAATATTAACTCAACCACATGACTTAACACTTATTCAAAATCAATGTAATCATAAAACAGATTCTAGAATTTAAGAATTTAAGTACATAGTTATAACTGTTCAATAATATCGAACAAATCTATTATTTCCAGGTTGTTTTTTTTTTGTAACATAACATAACATAACATAATCTTTATTTCTCTCAATACATGTATACATGCAAATATGAGGAATTTACAATAAATGATATAATCATACGAGGCTCATAAAAGGTGACAAACAAAACATGCAAATCAATAATTACAAAATTAGAACTAATGTAATATAAATAACACAAGTATTTTCAGTGAATAGTTAAGTTCTTATTTTTTGAATAATACATTTAACAAATTTACACAATTTGAGAAATTCAGATTTGTTTTTAGTACACATAAGATTTTCTAGTTTAAAAATGTTTGGTCGTTGATTATATACTTTTTTCAAAAATTGTTTTCTTTCTTCGTTGAATTGACAACATTCTTTATCTTTATTTCTCTCAATACATGTATACATGCAAATATGTGGAATTTACAATAAATGATATAATCATACGAGGCTCATATAAGGTGACAAACAAAACATGCAAAAAAATAATTACAAAATTAGAACTAATGTAATATAAATAACACAAGTATTTTCAGTGAATAGTTAAGTTCTTATTTTTTGAATAATACATTTAACAAATTTACACAATTTGAGAAATTCAGATTTGTTTTTAGTACACATAAGATTTTCTAGTTTAAAAATGTTTGGTCGTTGATTATATACTTTTTTCAAAAATTGTTTTCTTTCTTCGTTGAATTGACAACATTCAAGTAAATAATGAAATTCGTCGCCAGTTTTATTTTGACAATTAGAACAAAATCTTTGGTTAATTGGAGTACTGGACCAATTTCCCGTTTCTATAGGAAATCGATGATTTCTTGTTCGAAATTTAATAAAAAAGTACAGTAATGAACTATCTAAATTTGCCAAGTACGATTCAAATCCAAAAGTTGTCTTAATTATTCTATAAAACAAACTGTTACTCGAATTTTCAATTTTAGAATACCACTCATTTAAAAAAAGATCTTTTAACTTTTGTTTAACAGAAAGTTTGAGCCACCCAGAGTTTGTAAATGTATTGTCGAATCACACTTGTGGTAGACCACATTTGATTAAAATAGTTTTGACATTAAAAAACCATGGAAATTTCTTTTTAAGCAAATTATCACTTAAACCAGCTGTTGAGTGTAGTAAGTTATTATAGACAAGAATTGACAATTTATTATTAGCGTTAACACCGTCTTTATTACATAATTTTGACCAGAATGATATTATCCTTTCTTCGATGTCAATAGCTAGAGGCAAACAAACGGTTTCTCCATAAACAAAATAATTTGCTGTTGACTTTTTTAATTTAAGAATAATTTTTTAAAACCTTAGTTGAACTCGCTCAATAATGTCGAGATTACCATATCCCCAAATTTCTACACCGTACAGTAAAATCGGCTTAATTGTTTTATTAAATAATTCAATTTGTAAATCTATTGGAAGATTGAGACGATTAGAATTTTTTACCAAACTATACATGGCTCTTGTAGCTTGGCTTGCAATATGTTTTTTACATTTTAGAAAAGAACCTGTTTTACTAAAATAAATTCCAAGATATTTGTATTCATTTCTACCTCGATAGGTTCGTTTTTAAAAGTAAAATTATACATTTGTTGTCTACCTTTAGAAAAAACTACGATTTTTGTCTTTGACGTATTAACCTTAAGTTTCCAATTATCACAGTATTGTTCATATATATTTAATGCTTTTTGTAAATCATCTGCTGTTTCTGATATTATTACCGTATCGTCAGCATAGAGTAATATAAATAATTTTAAAAGACAGAAAAGCTCATTTGTATTACTTCCATTTACCAATGTTTATTCCATGTACGTTACTAACATTTAAAAAATACGATTCTAGATCGTTTTAAAAATAATGAAAATAGCAATGGCGATAAATTTTCTCCTTGACGTACACCTATATTACAAGGAAAAAAATTAGAAAAACAAGAATTTACCTTAACACATGACTTTATGTTACTGTACAAATTTTTAATGACCTGAAAACATTTTCCATTAATATTTGAGTTTATCAGTTTTTCCCATAAACCATTTCTCCAAACTGTGTCAAATGCTTGTTTAAGATCAATAAAGGAGCAAAAAAGCTTTTTTCCATTGTTATTAAGATAATGAATAATGTGTTGCAAAACAAATAAATGATCTGAAGTAGAAAATCCTTTCCTAAAACCTGCCTGTACATTGTTAATTATTTCATTAGATTCAACATAATCAGTTATTCTTTTATTTAAAATACATGTAAAAACTTTACCTAAACAACTTAACAAAGTTATAGGCCTATAATTTCCAGGGTCAGATGTGTCCCCTTTGTTTTTATATATTGGGTTGATTATACCAATAGTCCATAATTCAGGAATTATACCGGAATTTAATATTAGGTTAAAAAGTTTAACATATATTGTTTTCATTAATGGAAATGTTGCTTTAAGGTGTTCATTTACTACATTGTCATATCCACTGGCTTTATTATTTTTAAGGGTTTTGATTGCATACTCAATTTCATTGTCTGTGATTGGAACATTTATCTGTTCGTTACTTTCATTTACTTCATCAGAATTTGGTTCATCTATAATTTCATCACTTTCATCATTTTTAAAATTTACATTTTTAAAGAAATTATAAAGGTCAGTTAGGTCAGCCTCGCAATTTTGTTTTGTTTTTTTGTTTAAAATTTTCCAATAGTTTCGTGGGTCTTTACCTTTAAGATTTCGCAATTTACTTATACTTTCTTTTTCTCATTTTTATAAAATTGTTTTAACGTGCCTTTATATATTTTTGCGTTTTGTTTCAAGTTTTCCTTTGTGGTTTCGTTTTTTCTTAATTTATAAAGATGCTTTGCAGTGTGAAAATTTTTTCTAGCCTTTTTGCATTTTTGCAGTTTGTGTTGAAACTAATCTACTGATAATCTTTTTTTCCAAACGATTCTTTGTTTGGTCAGTAATTGTTAAAAATATAAAGTATTATCCTTCTGTTTAAATAAAGGAAATGCTTTTAAAATAATTCCTAAAACATGTTTACTTTAATTATTGCTTTTTTATAATTCTATCTACAAATAAAAGTTGCTGTTTATCAGATGTAAATCTATAGTATGAGATAAGTAAGCGACTCAAGCTTAAAGGATGAAAACATCCGTACATCAGTAATACAACCGGAAGTGAGTATAAAGCAATTAAACATTATAATTTGTTTAATTGCATATAGCCAAGCATTTATCTGATATTTGATGATTGCTTTTTAAGTTTTGGTCGGGACAAAAGCCATTCGGGATCAATGTTTCGGTAGAAAATCCTTTTTTAATTGCATGTATTTATAATAGATATATATGTTACAATAAATTCACAAGGTTTACCTGAGGTATACTAGCAACGATGCTGAATAACCATGCGAAGCCTAGCATAATCTTTCCTCTCTTATCGGAATCATTGAGGCTGAGCGGATAAAGAATCGCAAAGTAGCGATCTAGGCTTATAACAACCAGCACAAAAGACGATAAGTATAATCCAAACGCTCTAAAAAACATCAAAATTCTACAGGCAGCATCTCCAGCAAGCCACTCAACTGTTGCTTTCCAGACCACTTCAAGTGGCATCATGATAAACGTTACAATCATATCAGCCATCGCAAGATGCATGATAAACATGTTAACTCTAGATTTATCATTACGGTTCCTAAATAATGTTATAAATACAGTCAGGTTCCCTATCGCCGCTATAACGAAGAAACAGGAATATGCTGTTATTGATATCACATGTTGCACACCAAACTGCATTTCTTTTGGTAACTCCTCGGAGACCGGGAAATGATCCGAGGTCGAATTCGAACAATTAGTTTCGCAATAAGTCATGCTTTTGCTGATCTGGTGAAAAGGCACGTTTGGCGTGTTTTCCTCTAACGATTTGTTTAAAGTCACAAAATCCATTTTGAATTTATAACAGCTATTGTATTTACGACGTTTTTATACACCGTTTATAAAGTGCGCAAAGGCTGGCAATATGAATAATTATTGTTTATTTCAATATCATTCTGTATTAAACTTAATATGTCTCATTAATCTTCCTTTTTATTTTGTTTATTTTAACTAATCTTACAATTTTTTATATATTCCTCCAATAAACTATAACATCTCAATTGGATTCATTAATGATTTTCAAAAAAGATATCTACCGGAGATATGTATTTATACATTAAATAAAACAAGTTACGTCCACCTAATTACTGGCTTGAAGTCATTTATACATTCAGCATGTTTCAAGACCCGTTGCGGCAAGCGTTAGCTGATATTTCTCCTCACTGATTGGCTTTTCACAGAGCAAGAGTTTATAGCCTTTGTAATTTCCAATAAACTCTTCTCAGCAGTTCTTTGATCTGCCAAATCCTGCATTGCAATGAATAGTGTGATGTTTTTGTTTTACTTAACTATTGGACCACTGCAGATCATCTAATTTCCAACGTGTTAAGTATCACTTTAAAAACCGTGCAGTTATTTGATAGTATTTAAAAAGACAGTGCATTGATTGCGTTGATTTGTGCAGTTTTGGCATCACCTTACATGTGCTTACCTTGCCAAGCTGGATAAGTTGGATTAATACAAAACTAAGGAAAATTTAATCGATCATGTTCTTAAGTAAGGAACTTAGATTATAATCATATACTATTAAAAATATCTTTTTAAACATAGTTTTAATGGTAAACGAGTTAAGCAGATTAGTTGATTACCAATTTATTTTAGTTCGATTGTGTTGTAGCTCTAAGCTTAAATTACTACTATGACGTCATTCCTTTGTTCTGACAGTACTGTATTTTAATACAGTACAGGTAGGTGTCCAATATTAATGTGTTAGTCTAATATTAATCGTGTAACACATTAATTAATATTAGACAGCGTGCCGTGTCTTGAAAGAAGCTTGTATGGCCACAAGATTTTGTGGAAAATTCTTCAAATATTAAAAAAAACAAAAACCGATTAAGTTAAATGTAGCCTCTTATCTCAGAAGTTAACACGAAGAATGATGCAATATCTTTCCTTCGCCCATTACGCATTTTACATAGTTTTACGAAAATAAAAATTATACTTATTATCTGGTAACAAATTATTATTCCAAACCTCCTGATTTTCGATTTTCAAGCTCTTAACATCATATCACTGTTTACACTTCTTATAGCGGAGCGTCAGTTAGGATACGATTTTTATGGGATTGATTAATTTCTTGTATTGTCCGTTTTTTCTTTTTTAAATAAATGTTTACGTTAAGTTGATAATTATACTTGATTTGCTTTATTGTATGTACGTTATGTTTCAGTTAGGTAAGGGTAAGGGTCAGCTTTTCAAATGAATACAATAGAGAAAATAAATTCATCTATTTAACAGAGAAGTGGTTATGTTTGACTGCTTATATAAAGAAAAGAGTCCAGACTCCTGAGGTATGACAAATATCAATTAAAAATAAGAAAATATCATTTTGTTGCAGTGATAGTTGTTACAGTAGTAAAGTAAAAATATCATTTTAACACTAAATGGTCAGTATAAATCCTTCTTAAAAATCATAGATTGTTTCAGTCAATCATTTAAAATATCCGAGATTCAACACAAATTTGAAAACATTTCAGTTTTATTATTTCTTGTAAAAATCCCAAATGTAAATTGATGTATACTGTATGTGTGTAAGTCCAACATTTTGTGTAACTGGTATATTTTGTGTATACATTGTGTTCATGTACATAATTGGTCATATTTCAAAACACGGTCATTTCATGCTACGGTCATTTTGTTATTCAAGAGGCTACCTATAAGGTTTTTTGCAAGTAAGAAAATGATAATTGCTAAAACATTAATATTGTATATTTCTAGCACAAAAATACATTATTTCTAAGTTTTCGATAGATAACATGATATTTGATAGTAAAAGTAGTAATTCAAGTAAGATATAAGCCCCAAACTGACCAATAAGTAAAATATTGAATTCCCTTCGGCGCTACGCGCCTCATGAAATTCAATATTTTACACATTGGACAGTTTTCGGCTTATATCTATTACTTATTGAAACACTCCCGAACCAACCATTACTAAGCAATAAAAGTGTAAAGTTTCTTGCTCATGGAATCAACGACTGGCCCGTGACGGGGTTTGAACCCATGCGACCAGCACCTAAGGTTGTCCGGCGCATTAACGTTACCACTCGGCCACGCCGCAACTTATACAGTTAAGATGAATAACAATGTTAAATTGAACGCAATCCTCACCTCAAGTACAATACCCAGAAAGTTTTCTTGCAATTAAAAAGGTCCTATACAATTTTCAGCGACATGTGTTTTGTTAATTATGAAGAAGACTGATATTGTTTTCATTATCAATTCACTTCAAAATATTAACTTTGAACGCATTCCTTTTTTGCATTTAAGTGGGGACTTCATTATTATGCCAATTTCATATCATATTATTAAGGTAAATTCACAAACATAATGAAATAAACTAATATAAGTGGAAGCGAAGAAATATTTTTGACAATAAAATCATAATTTTGGCATATAACACGTACCAATCAGTACATCAGTATCATTAATATAACAACAAAATGCAATTTCCTAAGGCATGCATATTTCAATTTGCCACATTGCGATCTTCATTGCTGCAAATGCCATTTGAAACTTTTTGCTTGATATTATTGTTAGGTAACAACTGTATTATAAGTTTGTACTGAAGAAAAAATACTAAATATTATATAAAGATGAAGTTATAAAAACTGATATTATTCAACGAGCAACAGAAGTATATCAAACAAGATAATAAAACACTAATTGAAAATGAATACCTTGGCTTCATTTTCTAGAAAATTAAGTTGAAACGGTTTCACTTGGTAATCAAATTTATCCTAAAAAGCATAGTGCATACTTGCATAAAAGCAAGATCTTAAACGATAACTTACTTTTGTTGATTCATATTTTTTACCTGTTTGTTCTTATCATTTATCAAGATGTTGAATACTCATTAAACTCTACTTATATAACTAACTGTTGTATATTATATGCTTTGCAGTTGAAAGTGAAATAATATTTGATTCTTTTTACAGTGACAGTTCATTTGATTATTTTTACTTTATCGTGACTATATTTGAATGCGGATGAAAATATTACTTCATACAAAATAAAATTATCAACAGGAATAACTTTCGTCGTATGTTATGTTTGCTTCTTTAGGAGAAGCAAGTAAATATCTGCATGTATTGTGTAAAAAGATCGTAAAATTTTACAGAATTAAACTGAAACAATGGTACGGTTACGTAATGATGTGATGACATCATGAAGAAGAACGCATTACGTTTCGCGATAAAACAAGTAAAAATCAAAATCACTAAAAATGCTTGAAATAGATAGAAAATCTATTTCACTTGTGAACACCAACTATTTTTTTTTTAACTTTTGGCTACGCCACTCGTGATAATATTGCATCTGATGTCCACTAAGTGAAATATATTTCGATCTTCCATAAAAAAATATCCTTTATTTATTTATTTATTCATTTGTACACAATTGTATTTTCACATTGATCAATCAACGCCAGAAATAAATTCTAATTTGTTAATTTGAAAGAAACGTGCAACTAATGACAAACTAATCTCATGCATACTATTTCGTCCGTAAAAATTCGCTAGATATAAATGGTGCCGTCTGTACCACTGTACTAAAATAGTAAACAAATAGTCTGAACAATCTTGTCGGCATTTAAAGACACATTGTAATGAATTGGTCATTGTGTAACTACAAAAAGTTTTCTATAAAATGAGATTGGATATCTAAAACCTAATCTGCATTTCTAGTACCTAATTAACAAAAGTGACATAGTTTGCCCTTCAAAAAAATCACATATAGCTTCGTACCCTTTAAATGTGCTTTTATGGTAATCAGTTTTCTAATTCTAATGACACAGTCTTTATATTTCTTCAAGTAATTTTAGTCTATGACAAAGAATATCTCACCACGGTAAATTTATGCTCTTTGAGTACTTGTCGTCTTTCTACAAAGCTATTCAGGTTTAAATAATGTCATTTGATCAATTTTCCCATTCCTTAAAGTATTGTATAAAGTGGTTAATTTTGCGACGAGGAAATATTTGCAATTTTTACCGATTTAAAATTTTCGCAAATATATGATCGCGCATTTTTTTTTCTTTTTCGGCAAACTTTCTTGAAACATGTTCTCATAAAGCAACATGCATGAATAAGTTTGACTGTTCAGGTACTGAGATTGATTTTTTTATTGCTTGTTTGTTTATTTTTGGTCTTAATAAATCACAAATGTTTTAATGAAACAATATAATATTATGTGAAAACAACACTCATATAACAAAAGAATGTTTCAAAATATGACAAAGAAATGTGTGAGCAGGTCCTTAATCAAACTAATGATGTATATTTTAAACAATTATATAATAACAAAGGTATTAAACAATTTAATAGAACGATTACAATAACGACATATTCTTTACTCACACCTGCTTAGATAATGATATCACAACTCAAGAAATATATTTTGCACAAATTTCTACACACAAAAAGTCCATTTTTTGACATTTGCAATTTTTTGTGACGCATAAGTATCCACTTGTACAGTAATTGTTAATCTGTTTATCGCGTTTAATATTGTTTATCATATATTGCTTCTGTGAAACTTACTTAAAGATAACGCTAGACTAAAGTGTACTACCTACAAGTATTAAATGAACATGCACATTCTTGAAATTATGTCCAATTGCGTATTTCAAAGCACAAAAGATTTGCTTGATATTGTAACAGCTTCAAATTCTTTAATGTTAACGCTATAAATAGCTTTAATTAGGAAAACCGTAAACATAAATGGAGGCACGATAAGCTGTTTATTAAGATACAAGAACTCATGTGATAGTTTATCTACGAAAGTCCATTAAAACAGACATTTTATAATTTTAATCTTATCGCTATGAATGTAGTTTTGCTTTGATCTATTTCTTTTAATTTATTCCATTACGAAAATAAAAGATAGCATACAATAAACAAAAAATACCTCCAAAGTAACAACTAAGATCAAGTTGTTAGTATAACAATATTTGAATGGTAGGACGTAAGATATCCGTTCTATGTAAAATCTATTATGAAATTATTTTACTTGTTATTTAAAACGGATTGATATTATTGTTTATTGGAAAATATATTATTTAAAGGATGGAATAAAAAATAAATCATCATTTTGAGCTTGTATGTGTTTTTTGTGTAATGGTGCCTTATTCCTGTAATTATTATCTTTTTCCCCGGCTATTTATTGGTTAATGCTGATTAATGGTTAAAGATTGTGAAGTGCTACTTTATTGTTGTTGTGTATGTGTGTTTGTTGTACTTGTTTTCTTTGAACTTGACAAGCCTGTT